GACTCAGCAAGACCCAGTGTCAAAAAATAAAACCAAAAAACAAAACTCAACAGTAAATAACTAATCTAATTAGAAATGGGCAAAAGACATGAGGAGATATTTTACTCAAAAGAATATACAAGTGTCAAACAAGCACATCAAAAGATGTTCAACATTGGCTGGGTGTGGTGGCTCACACCTGTAATCCCAATACTTTGGGAGGCCAAGGAGGGCAGATCACCTGAGGTCAGCAGTTCGAGATCAGCCTGACCAACATGGAGAAACCCTGTCTCTACTAAAAATACAAAATTAGCTGGGCGTGGTGGCGCATGCCTATAATCTCAGCTACTTGGGAGGCTGAGGCAGGAGACTCATTTGAACTGGTGAGGCAGAGGTTGTGGTGAGCTGAGATAGCGCCATTGCACTCCAGCCTGGGCAACGAGAGCGAAACTCTGTCTCAAAGAAAAAAAGAAAAGATGTTCAACATCATTAGCTATTAAAGAAATGCACATTAGGCTGGGCACGATGGCTCACGCCTATATTCCCAGCACTTTGAGAGGCCTAGGTGGGTGTATCACCTCAGGTCAGGAGTTCGTGACCAGCCTAACCAACATGGTGAAAGCCTGTGTCTACTAAAAATACAAAAAAAATTAGCTGGGCATGGTGGCGGGTGACTGTAATCCACCCTACTCAGGAGGCTGAGGCAGGAGAATCACTTGAACCCGGGAGGAGGAGGCTGCAGTGAGCCAAGATCGCACCACTGCACTCTAGCCTAGGCACCAGAATGAGACTCTGTCTCAAAACAAAAAAAAAGAGAGAGAAAAAAGAAATGCAAATTAAAACTACAATGAAATATTGCTACCTAAGGATAGTTAAAAAAAAAAAAAAAAGTGACAACATTAAATGCTGATGAAGATGCAGAGAAACTGGATCACTCATGTTACTGGTGATAATGTAAACTTTTGGTACAGGTACTCACAATTTGTCACTTTCTTAAAAAAAAATACACAGGTTAACTAAGCAGAGGGGTGCATGCCTGTAATACCAGCGACGTGGGAGGCTGCATTGAGAGGATATCTTGAGCCCAGGAATTCAAGTCCAGCCTGGGCAACAAAGCAAGACCCTGTCTCTTTTTTTTTTTTTGAGACAGAGTTTCGCTCGTTACCCAGGCTGGAGTGCAATGGCGCGATCTCGGCTCACCGCAACCCCCGCCTCCTGGGTTCAGGCAATTCTCCTGCCTCAGCCTCCTGAGTAGCTGGGATTACAGGCACGCGCCACCATGCCCAGCTAATTTTTTGTATTTTTAGTAGAGACGGAGTTTCACCATGTTGACCAGGATGGTCTCGATCTCTTGACCTCGTGATCCACCCGCCTCGGCCTCCCAAAGTGCTGGGATTACAGGCTTGAGCCACCGCGCCCGGCTCTATCTCTTAAAAAACAAACACACAAACCCACAAGCAACTAAGATATAACCCACCAACTGCAATCCTAGGTATTTAAACCAGAGAAATGAAAAACATACTTATACACAAACGTTCACAGCAGTTTGATACAGAGTCTTGCTCTGTCACCTAGTCCAGAAAGAAGTGGCACAATCTTGGCTCATTACCACTGCTGCCTCCTGGGTTCAAGTGATTCTCCTGCCTCAGCCTCCCGAGTAGCTGGGGTTACAGGTACCCAGCTAATTTTTCTGTTTTTAGAAGAGATGGGGTTTTGTCATGTTGGCCAGGCTGATCTCGAACTCCTGGCCTCAAGAGATCCACCCAACTCAGCCTCCCAAAGTGCTGGGATTACAGGTGTGAGCCACCGTGCCCGGCCTACAGCAGTTTTAACATAATGGCCAGACACTGGAAAATGCCCAGATGCTCTGTAACAAGTAAAACTGTGGTATGTCCACACCACAGAATATTATTCATTAATAAAAAGTAAGAAACTATAGATGCAACAATCTGGATGACGCTCTGGAGACTTATGATGAATATAAAAAACTAATATAAGCTGGGTGTGGTAGCTCACACCTATAATCCCAACACTTTGGGAGGCCCAAATCATGAGGCTGGATCACGAGGTCAGGAGTTCAAGGCCAGCCTGACCAATATGGTGAAACCCTATCTCTATTAAAAATATGAGAATTAGCTGGGCATGGTGGCACATGCCTGTAGTCCTAGTCCTAGCTACTCAGGAAGCTGAGGCAGGAGAATCGCTTGAACCCAGGAAGTAGGGGTTGCAGTGAGCCAAGACCACACCACTGCACACCAGTATGGGTGACAGAGCAAGACTCCATCTCAAAAAAAAAAAAAAAAAAAAAAAAAAAAGGCCAATCCAAAAAGATTACACACTGTGTTATTTCACTTACATAATATTCTCAAAATAACAAAATTACAGAAATGGAGAAACATTAGTGGTTGTCAGGGTTTAACAAGAGGATAGAGGATAAGTGTGTGAGAGAAGTGGGTGGGATATAAAAGGGCATCAGGAGGGATTCTTGTGTCATTAGAAATGTTCTGTATCTTGACTTTGTTTATTTACTTTTTTTTTTTTTTTTTTTTTTGAGACTGAGTTTCGCCCTTGTTACCCAGGCTGGAGTGCAATGGCGCGATCTCGGCTCATCGCAACCTCCGCCTCCTGGGCTCAGGCAATTCTCCTGCCTCAGCCTCCTGAGTAGCTGGGATTACAGGCACGTGCCCCCATGCCCAGCTAATTTTTTGCACTTTTAGTAGAGACGGGGTTTCACCATGTTGACCAGGATGGTCTCGATCTCTCGACCTAGTGATCCACCCGCCTCGGCCTCTCAAAGTGCTGGGATTACAGGCTTGAGCCACCGCGCCCGGCTTATTTACTTATTTATCTACTTATTTTGAAGCAGGGTCTCACTCTGTCTCTCAGGCTAGAATGCAATAGCATGATCATAGCTCACTGCAGTATCGACCTCCTGGGCACAAGCGATCCTCCCACCTCACCTTCCTGAAAAGCTGGGACCACAGGCATGTTCCACCATGCCTGGTTAATTTTTATATTTTGTAGAGATAAGGTTTTGCCATGTTGCCCAGGCTAGTCTTGAACTCCTGGGCTCAAGTGATCCTCTTGCCTTGGCCTCCCAAAGTTCTAGGATTATAGGCATGAGACACTGTGCCCAGTCATGTATCTTGACTTAGTAATGTCAATTTCCTGACTTTGATTAAAATAACCAAATTTTAAATTTTGCAAAATTACTAAATTTTTCCACTGGAGAAAACTGGGTAAAAGGTACAAGAGATCATTCTTTATTATTTCTTACACTAGCATATGAATCTACAATTACCTCAAAATGAAGTTTAATTTATATAAAAGGTAAATTCTCACCTCATACTATAAAACAAAATAAATATGAAAGGCATTAGCTGGTATGATTCCTTTGTCTTTTTCTTTTAAAGTTCATAATTAACCAGTATTATTTTGAAATCTGAATCTTACTTTATGTTGAAAAATGTAAGTGAAAATAATACTAAAACAGTATAGGAATAGAAATAACAGAGATCAATGTAAAAGAAAAGACTCTAACCTATATAAGAATTTAGTATGTGATAGTAAAATTATTTTTTCCTTTCATCCTTCCAATTAACTCTCCATTCTTCTCTATTCGGGAGACTAACCTCTACGGACTGCAGCAACTGGAATTCTTACTCTCTAGTTATCTGTTGAATTTGGCCATTAGGAGCTAATGGAGGAAATCAGAAAGCAGGAGTCAAACAGTGGATTACCTTTGCTCCTTCCCTGCTGGGCCACAGCTTGGTGGTAACAGTATTCCTCTCCTGAAGATCACCTCTCCTGGTCAGCAGCTCTGTGCTTTAGTAATTACTTGCTGGGTTCTGCTAACTGTTCCCTCTCCTTGTCTTTTCACAGTTAGAAATGGCAATTGTTTTCTGCCTTTGCTAGCTCTAGGATGCTTCACCATCCCTTGCTTGTTTCCCTTAACTGTGCCCACAACTTTGTAAATAGTCTCTTCCTTAAACTTTTGTCAGTATCCTCACGTGTGTCATCTACTTCCTGCCAGGACCCTGATACCCTTAAGAAGAGGCAAAATCTAGACTGCTAGACTAATATACCAAAGGTCACTGTACATTTAGAAATATACTGTTAGAGTGATGGATGTATGGGGGTGCCTTTTTAAAATAAATCTTTGGGTAATACAGAATCTCTTTTCAAAGCTGTGCAATAAATGCAGTCTTGCCCAAAGAGAGGTTTGACCTTTGTCCTGGTTCCTATGAGATAACCTCTAAATCTTGGCATTTCCATACCAAAAGGAGTGACCGTGTTATTTATCATGGGCCTCTTGGGCCACACCTGCAGTTTATACTAATGATGGATCCCTTGAACCACATGGTGTCAGCTCAGTTTCCAGGGAGGGAAGGGTAGGAGTCTGGGTTCAACTACATGGGCCATCAATTAATCAGTCAATCATAACCACATAATGAAATTTCCGTAAAAAAATCCAAAAACTAAAGGTTGGGTGAACTTCCAGGATTGGTAGTACTCCATGCATATTGCCATACATCAATTCTAGGAGGGTAGGATGTCCTGAGGATCCAAGGGAAGCTTCATAGTTGGAACCCTCCTAGATTTTGACCTACGTCTCTTTTTTTGGCTAATTTTAACCTGTATCTTTGCCCTGTAATAAACTGTAATGGTGAGTATAATAGGTTTCTGTAAGTCCTGTTAGTCATTCTGGTGAATTACTCAACCTGAGGGTGGTTTGGGGAAGAAACCTTTGACCTTGTGGTTGGTGTGAAAAATAAGGGTAGTCTTCTATGAGCTCTTCCCTCTAACCTTGTAGTTGGGCCCTAGCTCCTTGTAGTTGGGGTCAGAAGCCTTGGGCAGACTTGGTAGTCTGGAGGACTGTGTTCTTAACCTCATAGTTTGGCTAATTCCAGGCAAAAGTACAAAAAGAGTAAGTAACAAAAAAATATAAATTTAGAATTGTTTGCCAAATTAATACATTTTTCCTGCATTTGTGTTTATATAATTTAAATTCTTTGACTTACCTGAGGGTCTACTAACCACCCATGGTACAAAGGAATATCAAGAAGATCAAATACTATGCATTCCGGTGTATACTCAAACACTCGAACACCAGTGAATCTTACATTTACATCCAGGCCTGTCTGTAATTTGTGCAGAATTGCCATGGCATCACTCATATTCTGAAAATAGAAAAGGGGAAAGTTATAATTCAGACACATCGAAACAAGAACACAAAAGATATTCAAGTATAAGAACATTTACTTTTAATTTTCCATTTTCTCCAATAAATTCAACATATTTTTATGGTTGATAACACTTATGCAGCACCACTGACTACATGTTGACACCTTCAAATAACTAGCTCACAGTAGTTGCTCAGTAAATATTTACTAGATTGCCGGGCATGTTGGCTCACACTTGTAATCCTAGCACTTTGGGAGGCCAAGGGAAGTGGATTACTTGAGGTCAGGAGTTTGAGACCAGCCTGGCCAACAGGGTGAAACCTTGTCTCTACTAAAAATACAAAGATTAGCTAGGTGTGGTGGTATGTGCCTTTAGTCCCAGTTACTTGGTAAACTGATGTAGGGCAGTCACCTGAACCCAGGAGGTAGAGGTTGCAATGCACAGACATTGTGCCACTGCATTCTAGCCTGGGCAACAGAGAGAGACTCTGCCTCAAACAAAACAAAACAAAACAAAACAAACTTCATGCTCTTATGCAACTAACATTCTATTGAGAGAGATAAACATGTACATATATAACACAATGTAAAGTATTAGTAAGAAAAACTGAGCAAGATGAGGTTGTAGAGACTAGTAATAATGAAGGACCTATTTTAGACTGGAAAGTCTAAAGTCAAATGTTTTTAAAGTCAAAGAGGAAGGCCTCTCCTACAGTTAAATTTAAAATAATTGAAAGTAGGATCTTAAAGAGATAGTGGCACACCCATGCTAACTTCAACATTATTCATAATTTTTTTTTTTTTTTTTTTTGAGATGGAGTCTTGCTCTGTCACCAGGCTGGAGTGCAGTGGCACGATCTCAGCTCACTGCAACCTCTGCCTCCTGGGTTCAAACGATTCTCCTGCCTCAGCCTCCCGAGTAACTGGGACTACAGATGTGCGTCACCACACCCAACTAATTTTTGTATTTTTTTAAATTGTTTTATTTTTAGTAGAGATGGGGTTTTACCATGTTGGCCAGGATGGTCTCGATCTTTAGACCTTGTGATCTGCCAACCACGGCCTTCCAAAGTGCTGGGATTATAGGCATGAGCCACTGTGTCTGGCCTATTCATAATTCTTTACCTATTCTTAGTCACAACTGACAAAAGAATAAAGAAAATGAGGTATATACATACAATGGAATATTATTAAGCCTTAAAAAAGAAGGAAATCTTGTCATATGCTACAACCTGGATGAACCTTGAGTATATCATGCTGAGTAAAATAAGCCAGTCACAAAAATAAAAATACTGTACTCTACTTATATGTGATAGAGTTGTCAAAATCATAAAAATAGAAAGTAAAATGGTGGTTTTCAGGAAATTGTAAGAAGTGAGAAAGGGAAGTTGTCTGATAGATATAGGGTGTCACTCTGTTGCCCAGGCTAGAGTGCAGTCGTATGATCATGGTTCACCACAGCCTCAACCTCCTGGGCTCAAGTGATCCTCCCACCTCAGCCTCCCATGTAGAGGGGACTACAGGTGCATGCTACCATGCCCAGCTAATGTAGTTGATATTTTGTAGAGATGGGGTCTCACTATGTTGCCCAGACTGGTCTTGAATTTCTGAGCTCAAGTAATTTTCCGCCTCAGCCTCTCAAAGTATTGGGATTATAGGCATAAGCTACTATGCCTGGCAAGTTTCAGTTTTAAAGATGAAAAAGTTCTACAGATCTGTTATACAACACCATGAATACAGTTAACACTTCCAAACTGTATGCTTAAAAATGTTTAAAATAATACATTTTATATTACGTGGTTTTTAACACAATTAAAAAAAAATAGGAATGAGCCATCAAGCCATGAAAAGACACAGAAGGAATTTAAATGCATATTAGTAAAGAAAAGAAGATAATCTGAAAAGGCTACATACTGTATAATTCCAAATAACATTCTGGAAAAGGCAAGACTATAGAGACAGTAAAAAAGATAAGTGGTTGCCAAGGACTAGGGGAAGGGAAGAATAAATAGGCAGAGTACAGAGAATTTTTAGGACAGTGAAACTACTGTGTATGATACTGTAATGGTAGATACGTGTCACTATACATTTTTCAAAATCCATAGAATATACAACACCAAGAATGAATAAATTATAGACTCTGGGTGATAATGATGAGGCGTTATACGTTTATCAGTAATAAATGTACCACTTTGGTGCAGGATGTTGATAGTAGAGAAAGCTTTGTGTGTGGGGTTAGGAGGAACAGAAGCTATATAGAAATTCTCAACACTTTCCATACTCGATTTTGCAGTGAATACACTGGGATGGATGGATGGATGGAAGGAAGAAAGAGAGGAACGGAGGGGGGAGGGAGGGAAACTGGAGGAAGGGTAGAGGGAGGGAGAGAGGGCAGTGCAAATAGGAGGGAAAAAAGGAGAGGGAGGCAGACCTTTTTGAAAATGACACTAGAATAGAGATCACAATGAGCACTGAGTCTTAGGAAGCTCTGGTCAAAGAGCATTGCAAAAACCCTGAGGTAAAAATGAGTTTATTAGTGTATCTATGGAATAGCATGGGGTCCAGTGTGGCTGGCACAAAATAAAAGTGAAAAGTTGTAGGAGATGAAGTCTAAGAGACTGGCAGAGGCTAAACCACAAAGTCTTGTTTGTCAAATTAAGCGATCATTCTGCCCACATCAGTTTTCTCGATAAACACAGTCATATAAATCTGTAATAAAGACTATTTTAAAATGTTTTTCTATCCTTCTATGACTGTGGAGTAGAAAAAAATGCTTTTCTAAACATTTTAACACATTAAATATGGACATATATATAGAGGATACATTCAAAAGAACAAAGAAAAACCAATACATAAGTGTTAATACACTTTTGGCCGGGCACAGTGGCTCACGTCTGTAATTCCAACACTTTGGGAGGCCAAGGCAGGCGAATCACAAGGTCAGAAGATCAAGACCATCCTGGCTAACACGGTGAAACCCTGTCTTCACAATAAATACAAAAAAATTATCTGGGCGTGGTGGCATGGGCCTGTAGTCCCAGCTACTCGGGAGGTTGAGGCTGGAGAATTGCTTGAACCAAGGAGGTAGAGGTTGCAGTGAGCCGAGATAGAGCCACTGAACTCCAGCCTGGGTGACAGAGCGAGACTATGTCTCAAAAAAAAAAAAAAAAAAAAAAAAAAAATTTCACATACTTTTTACTGAATCCCTACTGCTTATCAGACACTGTACTAGATGCTAACAAACTAGGAACAGTAGACTACATCGAGGGGTTTGATTTTAAAAAGAGAGAAAATGAAGGAAATCTTCTTACATTAAAACTATGGATTCTCGTTCAAATTTGAAAAAGACAAATTTAGGTTACAAAGTTCTGTTTTAAGAAATAATTCATAAAATTTCATTCTAACAGACTGTTCAGGCAGTAAAGAGAAATCATTCAAATGTTTTAAATTCATGATGCAATTATAATAGGATAACATTGTTATACTAGTCTTTGACCTTTGCCAGTTTCATCTCTTTCTACTATGTATGTTTCCTCCAAACAATATATTTTCTCAACCTTCCCAAAAATTAAACTCTTAAAAACAATCAGCTTACATTTTTTCCTTTAAATGTTTTAGAACTTTTCTTAAAGCTACAGCAATGATGAATCTGAGAAAACAGTAACAATAGTGAGCAATCTAAGAATTACAGTTTTATAAACACCAGTTCTTTCCTCTATTTTTGTAAATTCTTGGTTGTCGACCACCCAATTTCCTTTAGGGGCAATATGATTTCTTTTTTTTTTTTTTGAAACGGAGTTTCGCTCTTGTTACCCAGGCTGGAGTGCAATGGCGCGATCTCGGCTCACTGCAACCTCCACCTCCTGGGTTCAGGCAATTCTCCTGCCTCGGCCTCCTGAGTAGCTGGGATTACAGGGACGCGCCACCATGCCCAGCTAATTTTTTGTATTTTTAGTAGAGACAGGGTTTCACCATGTTGACCAGGACGGTCTTGATCTCTTGACCTCGTGATCCACCCGCCTCGGCCTCCCAAAGTGCTGGGATTACAGGCTTGAGCCACCGCGCCTGGCCTGGCAATATGATTTCTAATGGCTCCAGGCTCATGCTTATACTATCATATATTTGCTACAATTATTCTCCACTATTTAGTATTAAAACAACTAAATTAACACCATTTGGTATCTTCAGATAACTTGACAAAACAGGCCAGACACAGTGGCTCATGCCTGTAATCCTAGCACTGTGAGAGGCTGAGGTGGACAGATCACTTGAGCCCAGGAGTTTGAGGCTGTAGTAAGCCATGATCACACCATGGCAATCCAGCCCAAGTGACAGAGTGAGACCCTATCAAAACAAACAAACAAACAAACAAACAAACAAACAAACAAAGGCTGGCTCAGTAGCTCATGCCTGTAATCCTAGCACTTTGGGAGGCCAAAGCAGGTGGATCACTTGAGGCCAGGAGTTCCAGACCAGCCTGGCCAACATGGTGAAATGCCGTTTCTACTAAAAATAAAAAAACTGGCTGGGCTGTATGGCTCACACCTATAATCCTAATACTTTGAGAGGATGAGGTGGGTGGATCATCATGATGTCAAGAGATCAAGATCATCCTGGTGGCTGGGCGCGGTGGCTCAAGCCTCTAATTCCAGCACTTTGGGAGGCCGAGGCGGGTGGATCACGAGGTCAAGAGATCGAGACCATCCTGGTCAACATGGTGAAACCCCGTCTCTACTAAAAATACAAAAAATTACCTGGGCATAGTGGCGCGTGCCTGTAATCCCAGCTACTCAGGAGTCTGAGGCAGGAGAATTGCCTGAACCCAGGAGGCGGAGGTTGCGGTGAGCCGAGATCGTGCCATTGCACTCCAGCCTGGGTAACAAGAGTGAAACTCCGTTTCAAAAAAAAAAGATCATCGTGGCCAACATGGTGAAACCCCGTCTCTACTTAAAAAAAAAAAAAAAAAATTAGCTGGGCATGGTGGCACACACACCTTCCAGCTCCTTGGGAGCTGACTCGGGGGAATCGCTTCAACCCAGGAGGCAGAGGCTGAGTGAGCCAAGATGGTGCCGCTGCACTCCAGCCTGGTGACAGAGCAAGACTCCGTCTCAAAAACAAAAATTAGCCAGGAGTGGTGGCAGATGCCTGTAATCCCAGCTACTTGGGAGGCTGAGGCATGTGAATCCCTTGAACCTCAAAGGTAGAAACTGCAGTAGTCTGAGATTGTACCACTGCACTCCAGCCTGTGAGCAGAGCATGACTCTGTCTTTTTTTTTTTTTTCCCATGAGACAGCATCTCACTATATTGACCAGGTTGGAGTACGGTGGTGTGATCTTGGCTTACTGCAATCTCTGCCTCCCAGATTCAAGGGATTCTCCTGCCTCAGCCTCCCGAGTAGCTGGGACCACAGGAGTGTGCCACCATGGTTGGCTAATTTTTTGGACTTTTAGTAGAGATGGGGTTTCACCACGTTAGCTAGGATGATCTTGATCTCCTGATCTTGTGATCTGCCCGCCTTGGCCTCCCAAAGTGCTGGGATTAAAGGTGTGAGCCACCATGCCTGGCCAACACTCTGTCTTAATAAAAAACAACAACTGATAAATGAAACATACTTATTATAAAAGGGTTTTAAACTCTTGGCTAAGTATTTTGCCACTTTGTTCCCAATTCCAAATAATACTTACTATTATAAAATATAAATGTGAGCTATGGTTGCTTACCTCACAGGAAGGGATTACTACTGGATCCTTTAAGGCAGTAATTAAGCTGTTTCTTACAACTCTTTTCAAAACAACCTTTAATATGGTGAAATACTTTAAATTTAAATGCAAAATACATTTTAAGAATATATTTGCAGTCATTAAAAAATCTGTTATGAGGCCAGGCGCAGTGGCTCACGCCTGTAATCCCAGAACTTTGGGAGGCTGAGGCAGGCGGATCACAAAGTCAGGAGTTCAAGACCAGCCTGACCAACAAAGTGAAACCCCATCTCTACTAAAAACACAAAAATTAGCCAGGCAGGGTGGTGGGCGCCTGTAGTCCCAGCTACTTCGGAGGTTAAGGCAGGAGAACTGCTTGAACCCAAGAGGCAGAGGTTGCGGTGAGCTGAGATCATGCCATTGTACTCCAGCCTGGGCAACAAGATCAAAACTCTGTCTCAAAAAAAAAAAAAATCTGTTATGACCCCCCTCCCCCCAACACATACACACATATCATGTTTTCTGGTACTGTCAGGACTCTCAGGATGTCTATTATTAGGAAAAACTGGAAAAAATTCGCTCTATGCTTACAACTTCTCGTAAAGAGATTTAGTTGGGAATATTGCAGCTCTGTGTTGGTCTTTCTAAATTCAGGTTTGAAGAGGTCTGCTCACATAAAAGTATACAAAAAAGAACACTGTTAAGGGCCGGGCATGGTGGCTCAAACCTGTAACCCCAGCACTTTGGGAGGCCGAGGCGGGTGGATCACGAGGTCAAGAGATCGAGACCATCCTGGTCAACATGGTGAAACCCCGTCTCTACTAAAAATACAAAAAAAATTAGCTGGGAATGGTGGCACGTTCCTGTAGTCCCAGCTACTTGGGAGGCTGAGGCAGGAGAATTGCCTGAACCCAGGAGGTGGAGGTTGCGGTGAGCCGAGATCGTGCCATTGCACTCCAGCCTGGGTAACAAGAGCGAAACTCTGCCTCAAAAAAAAAAAAAAAACACTATTACATCACAATTGTGGAACAATACACACTAGCTTAGACTCAGCCATAAGCTTGACATACACTATTTTCAAAACTAATAGTAATGTAATAATAACATTGTATAGTTTCAGTCTTTATTTTAAAAGCAGGATACTTTTTGACTGATATGTTTATGACAAATGCAAGCAGTTGTTAGATATCCTTTGTTTTAACTTTGAGCCAATACTTCCAATCACTTTTCTAGGATCTTGATCACTGTAATAGGAGTGTATTCCAAAACTGCAAGATGGACTTAAAATGCTGATAACATTTGCAAACATTTTTATTTTTCTTTCTTTCTTTCTTATTTTTTTGAGATTGAGTCTCACTATATCACCCAGTCTGGTCTTGAACTCCTAAGCTCAAGGAATGCTCCTGCCTCAGTCTCCTGAGAAGCTGAGTAGATAGAATTACTGCTGCAAACCACTGTGACTGGCTACCAACACTTTTCTTTCTTCTTCTTTTTCTTTTTTTTTTTTTTTTTTTTAAACAGGTTCTCATTCTGTTGTCCAGGATGGAATGCCGTGGCATGATCTTGGTTGACGGCAATCTCTGCCTCCAGGACTCAAGTGATCATCTTACCTCAGGCTCCCAAGTAGCTAGGGCTATGGCCATCTGCAACCATGCCCAGCTAATGTTTTGTACTTTTTGTAGAGGCTGGTCTCACTCCTGGGCTCAATCCATCCACCTGCCTTGGCCTCCCAAAGTGCTAGGATTACAGGCATGAGCCACCACCCCCAGCAACTGCAAACACGAAAATCAAGATTTTCTCCTTTCTGTCAAGATTTTCTCAGAATTAGGCAACAAAAGTAAAATAAATTTGGAGTTTGATATCAGACTGCAACTATCATCTACAGTCCCTAATTTTAAGTTTTGTTATTAAAATAGGTTCATGATTTCAGTAAGAAATGATATAAATTTGATAAATATATGATATAAATTGAACCTTATTACTTTATACATGTACTGGTTTTACATATTGGAAGCTGAGATAAGATTTCACTTGAAAAGAGGTTTCTATTGCTAAAAATGTTTGAATATCAGGCTGGGCGCGGTGGCTCAAGCCTGTAATCCCAGCACTTTGAGAGGCCGAGGCGGGTGGATCACGAGGTCGAGAGATCGAGACCATCCTGGTCAACAAGGTGAAACCCCGTCTCTACTAAAAATACAAAAAATTAGCTGGGCATGGTGGCGTGTGCCTGTAATCCCAGCTACTCAGGAGGCTGAGGCAGGAGAATTGCGTGAACCCAGGAGGCGGAGGTTGCGGTGAGCCGAGATTGTGCCATTGCACTCCAGCCTGGGTAACAAGAGCGAAATTCCGTCTCAAAAAAAAAAAAAAAAAAAAAAAAGTTTGAATATCACTGTTTTAAGATACAAATTCCCCTGACAAAATTTAAATGACTTAGAATACAAATTTGGCTTTAACTTTAGATTTCCTATCTTCTTCTTAGCTGCTTCTTCTTATTTTTCTTATTATTTTTTGAGACAGAGACTCCCTCTGTCACCCAGGCAGGAGTGCAGTAACACAATCTTGGCTCACTGAAACCTCTGCCTCCCTAGTTCAAGCAATTCTCATGCCTCAGCCTCCTGAATAGCTGGGACTACAGGTACGTGCCACTACGCCTGGGTAATTTTTGTATTTTTAGTAGAGATGGGGCTCTGCCATGTTGGACAGCTGGTCTTGAACTCCTGGACTGAAGTGACCCACTCACCTTGGCCTCCGAAAGTGCTAGGATTATAGGTGTGAGCCACCCGCATCTGGCCTAGATTTCCTATTTTATAAAATGATGCAATGTAAGTTGTTGATTTTTCAAATTCCATCAGGACTAGATTATTTCAACATCAAATTCAAGAAATTTTGCAATACTGAAATAAGATATGCTTTCCTATTGCAAATTTAATACTCGTGAAAGTATGTTAAAAAGGTTGCTTTGAAAGTAAATATGAAGGTTCCAATCATGTCTCTTTCTTCCCTGGCTAATACTTCCTTCCACTCTAAGAAGCTAATTCCTTTTTGCCTTCTACTGCCAAGTAAAGGAAGAATACTGAAGAAAATGAAGCTCTGCTTGCTTTTTTCCAGCACTAATAATTTTGAGCCTAGTGATACCTCCTACGTTGTGGAACAGGATCTCAAAATAACATGCCAAGAAATGTGAACACTGAAACTATCAAATGGCAAAATTTGTCCTAATGATACACACATGATTTGTTCAACTTTCTTCTGAATATAACTTAATTGTAAAATATAAATAAAACGAGGAAAAATGAATCAATGACAAATTCACCTGGAAGTCAATTTTTCAAGAAAAACACAATGTTTGATCTGTCAAGGAATGAGAAAAAAAAAAAGAAAAAATACCAGGTTATCATTCTACATAGATTTGTAGAATGATAATCTGGCTGTAAGGTAAAAATGGCTTTTTTATTTTTAAAGAGTTATTAAAAAAGAAAACAAAGAATATGTAATAGAGACTGACCACATGTAGGCTGCAAAGTTTAAAGTGTTTACTATCTAATCCTTTATAGAAAAAGGCTGCCAGCTATTGATAGAGACCAATGTATATATTTAAACTTTAAAATTATACTTTAACAAAAATTGTGTTGATTACCTGTTCATAATTTAAACGTTGAATTTCTGAAATTTCTTTTGGCTTTGCATCAAGCATGTAATCTCCTGCAAAAAAAAAAAAAATTGTGAAATTGCCTTTAAAAAATTTTTTTTTTCTGATTACAAAAATAATAGATTTTAATTATAAATGTTAAAACACTGAAGCTATGGCTGACATATAAAGTTGACTTCTCAAACCTACCCAGAGAAAGTAAATGTTAACTATTTGCTGTCACCTCACATGTTTTTAATGTACATACTACAGTGCTTTTGAACTTTTCTGATTTTATAATGTATTTCAGCATCATTCCATATTATTATGTATAAAGGTCCCAAAGGTTGTACCAATTTCATTGCTGTCAACGATATAACTAATTCCAATCACCTCACCAACAATGGGTATTATCAGTCTTCTAAATGTCTGCAACCCTGAGAGGTGAAAAAAAATTTCTCTGGCATCTGACTGGATGTGGTGGCTCACGCCTGTAATCCCAGCACTTTGGGAGAACGAGGTGGGTAGATCACTCAAGGTCACGAGTTCAAGACCAGCCTGGCTAACATGGTAAACTCCGATTCTACTAAAAATACAAAAGTTAGCAGGACGTGGTGGTAGGCAGCTGTAAATTCCAGCTACTCGGGAGTCTAGGGCAGAAAAATCACTTGAACCTGGGAGGTGGAGGTTGCAGTGAGCCAAGATTGCACCCCTGTGCTCCAGCCTGGGCAATGGAGCAATTCTCCACTGCAAAAAAAAAAAAAAAAAAAAAAAAAAAAAAAAGTTTTTTTTTGTGCATTTAAAAAGATGATATTTTTATATAAAACTTTTTATTTTATATCACCTTTTCAATATATACATAACCTTTGGTATACATGGCAACTTTTAAATATACATGGTACCTTTTGAAAACATGGATCACAATTTTAACACTTTTAAATCTATGCATAACCTACGTATTACCTTTCAAATTATGTCTTAACTATATGTATATATTTCGTTTTCTTTGAATTCTCTACCTAAATAATTATCTTTTTTTTTTCTTTTTAAGAGATGGGGTTTTGTCATGTTGCAGCTTCTCAAAGAATTGGCACTAGTGGCATTAGACACCACACCTGGCTTGTCTTTTCTTATTGAACTGTAAAAGCTAAACTGGACTAGGCACAATGGCTCATGCCTGTAATCCTAGCACTTTGGGAGGCTGAGGAGAATGCATCACCTGAGGTTAGGAGTTCACAACCAGCCTGGTCAACATGGTAAAACCCTGTATCTACTAAAAATACAAAAACTAGCCAGGTGTGATGATGAGCACCTATAGCCCCAACTACTCGGGGGGCTGAGGTGGGAGAATAGCTTAAATCCAGGAGATGAAGGTTGTAGTGAGCCAAGATCGGCCACTGCACTCTAGCCTGGGTGATGGGGAGAGACTCTGTCTCAAAAACAAAAACAAATTTTATTTAAAAAATCTTGTCAACTGGTTAATTTGTCTCTACCCTTCCACACAACTAGTCAACTGATTTTTTTGTGAGATCTACACTTATTGATGTAACTGATAATACAAATTTTAGAAGACTCTTTGTTTTTGTTTTTGGGTTTTTTTTTTTTTGGAGACAGACTCTTTCTCTGTCACCTAGGCTAGAGTGCGGTGGCATGATCATGACTTTCTGCAACTTTGACCTCCCTAGACTCAGGTGATCCTCCCACTTCAGCCTCCTGAGTAACTGGGACTATAGGCATGCACCAAACCTGGTTAATTGTCTCAAAAAAAAAAAAAAAAAAAGCATAACTTGGAATGGCAATGGGAGAAAAAGCATCTTTTGAGGGGAATAATGAATGGAGAAAGCACATATAAGAAAGATCAAGTCACATGGATAGCTTATAAGAAGATTTAATACAAAAGATTTATACTGTAAAGTAGCAGCAAACAAAGCTGAATGAGTAAATCTGAACAGATTTTAGAAAATCCTAAATAATATGATGATACATTTGGCTGCATGTGAAAGATCACAGGGATCTTTATACTTTTAAGGAGAGGAGTAAAGGATGAAACTGATGCTTTAAGAAAAGTACACTGATATGTAGGCTAACTTAGAGGACAAATAATGATACAGTTTGCAGATAAATCAGGTTATGAAGTATCAGTATATAGAAAGAGAAAACATTTCAAAGAAAGAATTCATAAGGTCTTGATACTAGTGGGATATTCAGACAAACAAAAAAAACAAGAAACAAAAATCTGACAGCTATATTAGGCCAAAAATTGGAAGAGGTGGTTTGGCATAAGTTAGCTTATACCAGGTGAACATTTGGAAAAAAGGAAATACAGTCAACTCTGGGTGGAATTAAAATGCTTCAACACTGACCTCTCTTTATAGCATATTTATATTCAAAAGATAAAATAATTTTTCTTTTTTTTTTTTTGAGTTTCACCCTTTTTGCCCAGGCTGGAGTGCAGTGGCACGATCTCGGCTTATCGCAAACTCTGCCTCCCGGGTTCAAGCAATTCTCCAGCCTCAGCCTTCCAAGTAGCTGGGATTACAGGTATGTGCCACCACACCTGGCTAATTTTTGTTTCAAACCCATCTCTACTAAAAAATACAATGGGGTGGTCAGGGTGGTCTCAAAATATAAAATATAAAAATAGAATATATAAAATATATTTTATATAAAATATAAAAAATACAAAATATAAAAAATACAATACTAAATTTTGTTTCAAACCCATCTCCAATAAAAAATGGGTTGGTCAGGGTGGTCTCAAACTGCTGACCTCAGGTGATCTACCCGCCTAGGCCTCCCAAAGTACTGGGATTATAGGCATGAGCCACGAAGATAAAATAATTTTGTTTAAAGTCAGACAATGCCACCATCTCTACTATTTTCTTTATACTATGCCAGTCTCATCATCATACTAATTTCAGATGACTGAAGTCACAATGTACATTACAGTTTATGCTGAGTTTCATATTCCTGCCCATTTCCTGCCTCTTACCTACATCTCTTCCCCACCTTACTTTATTAGACTAGATATTGTGTTTCATTCTCTCTGCCAAAGCCCCCCAAAAAGCCATGCCCATGTATGGCTCTGCTCTCATATTCTAGTAACAGAAATTTCCAGATTGAAACTCAATCTTTCTCCTCTATCCAACCTTCGCCAATCAAAATTCCCATTTCCTTGGGGTACTTCAGCTAGGCATTAGGAAAGCAATTATTAGTTCCTCTTACAATCCCTTTACTAGTGTTTGCTTTTTAACTCAAAAACATCTCTTGTTTCTCCAGAGAAATGGAATAATCTCAAGAGGAGAAAATCTAAATAGCTTAGAAAATTAAACAATTTGTTCTTGCAGGATTGGCCCTGAATAAAATTTACTTTTTGTGTGGCAGAGCTTTCAGAATTTCTCTGCTTACATCGCTCTTGTCAGTTCTCCCCCACCTCCTGTTAAAATCATATTACTTTTATGCTGACCCTAGTAGCTAAGTCCTATCACCAGTGATTCCCAAACCTCTTTAGCTACACCAGCCCTAGATATTTCCTCACCAATTTATCTTTTTCCTAATTAAAATTCTCTGTCCTATGTTCTGCTTCCTCAGGGCTTTGCTAGCTAAGAGTTAGATATATTTCATATAACAAGTATGTTAACTATATTTCTTATTACTCTTTCGAAGAAAAATACCATGCTGACATTTTTGTGGTTAGAGTACACTTTCATGCAGCGACATTGACTACTTTTTGACACCTTTAAATAACTAGCTCGCAGTACATGCTCAGTAAATATTTACAGGATTGCTGGGCATGGTGGCTCAAGCCTGTAATCCCAGCACTTTGGGAGGCCAAGGCGGGCGGAACACCTGAGGTCAGGAGTTTGAGACCAGCCTGGCCAACAAGGTGAAACCCCGTCTCTACTAAAAATATAAAAATTAGCTGGGCCTTGTGGTGGACGCCTGTAGTCCCAGCTACTAGGGAGGTTGAGGTGAGATAATTGCTTGAACCCAAGAGGCAGAGGTTGCAGTGAGCCAAGATAGCACCATTGCACTCTAGCCTGGGCAAGAAAAGCAAAACTCCATCTCAAAAAAAAAAAAAAAAAAAAGTTGCTGGGTTAAAAAAGCAAAAAAAAGAAAGAAAAACACAAGAAGAGGAAATTTCTTTTTTTTTTTTTTTTGAGATGGAGTTTTGCTCGTTACCCAGGCTGGAGTGCAATGGCGCGATCTCGACTCACTACAACCTCCGCCTCCTGGGTTCAGGCAATTCTCCTGCTTCAGCCTCCTGAGTAGCTAGGATTACAGGCACGAGCCACCATGCCCAGCTAATGTTTTGTATTTTTAGTAGAGACGGGGTTTCACCATGTTGACCAGGATGGTCTCGATCTCTTGACCTCATGATCCACCCACCTCAGCCTCCCAAAATGCTGGGATTACAGGCTTGAGCCACCGCGCCCGGCAGAAATTTCAAATATTATATCAAAAACGCTTTGGAATGGTAGAGGGGTAAGAGGGATGTATTTCTGAGTATATGAGCTTTTCAGCAGTCCTTAAATCATACAAGGTGCCCAGATGCAGATAGCACATTAACCCCTCTGCATATTGGTTTCCTCCTCTGTAAAACAGAGGCATCACAATGTTACGATAGTTTCTTTTTTGCACCAATCTCATCCTTTGTACTATTAGTACTCCTGTACTTATGACTCTGCTTATCGGTTCTCTGTCACCACAACTGTATTTCTTCATTTGCAGAACATGGCCAAATACCTCATTTTGTCTCGGAAGGTATGCAGACAAAGTCAAGCAGCATGCTAGTGATAACAAGCAGGGAGGAGGTTAGGTAAATGGAATCGACTTGTGACAGCACAGAAAGTAGAGCCAAAATGAACATAAGAGCTATGGAGTGGCAGCATAGTTTAACTGAACACTGTCCAATGAAAATACAATGCAAGCCACGGATATGAGCTCAAATGTAATTTTAAATTTTCTAGTAGCCACACTAATAAAAGTTAAACAGGTAAAACTAATCTTTTCTTCTTCTCCTTATTTTTATTTTTATTTTTTTGAGGTAGGGTCTCACTTTGTCACCCAGGCT